AATGTCTTTATGCTTATATATATAATTTGATAATTTGATTTACATTATAATGCATCTCAAATTATACATGAAGAGCCTGTATTGTGTGCATATTTATTTATTGCTAAGAACCTGGCAGAGGTTATTTCTATGTTATGTTTTCAGTCTTTTTCTTAAGCCTCACAAAACTCCCTATTGAAACTAAACAACAAAATAGGCTGGCTTAATTCACATGTGCTGTGAAGCAGCGTAGGTGGTTATTTCTCAAGGTCTTGAGTGGTCCTTGTTTCTTGGAGATGTTCCTTCAGCATCGTCTTGTGTCAACTTGCAGTAGGGACAAAAGAGTAAGACCAAAATTTGAATTTCTTCATATATTGTACAGTTTACTCTGTGATTCTTGGAAATAAACTATCCAGTATTAGGCATACATTTTTCACCAACGATGTTTTAGATGTTTCATGCTTCTGTTCCCCAGCACCTATATGGCTAGCTCTGTTTTACTGCAGGTATTTACATTAGAGTATTCAAATCAATTTCTTTGTTAGGAACCCTTGATTTTAGCAGCTAATCTCTAGGGACACTTTTTTTTTTTTCTTTTTTTAATTGTACTTTAAGTTTTGGGATACATGTGCAGATCATGCAGGATTGTTGCATAGGTACACACATGGCAGTGTGGTTTGCTGACTCCATCCCCCCCATCACCTATATCTGGCATTTCTCCCCATGTTATCCCTCCCTGATCTCCCCAGCCCCCTGCTTTCCCTCCCTTCCCCCCCACCAACAGACTGTGTCCATGTGTTCTCATTGTTCATCACCTGCCTATGAGAAAGAACATGCGGTGTTAGATTTTCTGTTCTTGTGTCAGTTTGCTGAGGATTATGGTTTCCAGATTCATCCATGTCCCTACAAAGGATACAAACTCATTATTTTTTATGATTGCATAGTATTCCATCATGTATATGTGCCACATTTTCCTTGTTTTGTCTGTTGTCACTGGGCATTTGGGGTGCTATTGTAAACAGTGCTGCTATGGACATATGTGTGCATGTGTCTTTATTATAGAATGATTTGTATTCCTTTGGTTGTATACCACGTAGTGGGATTGGGTCAAATGGAATTTCTGTTTCTGGGTCCTTGAGGAAGCGCCACACTGTCTTCCACAATGGTTGAACTAGTTTACACTCCCACGAACAGTGTAAAAGTTTTCCTCTTTCTCCACATCCTCTCCAGCATCTGTTGTCTCTAGATTTTTTAAATGATTACTGTTCTAACTTGTGTGAGATGATATCTCAATATAGTTTTGATTTGTATTTCTCTACTGACCAGTGATGATGAGCATTTTTTCATATGTTTGTTGGCCTCATATATATCTTCTTTTGAAAAGTGTCTGTTCATATCCTTCTCTCACTTTTGAATGGGTTTGTTTGTTTGTTTCTTGTAAATGTGTTTTAGTTCTTTGCAGATTCTGGGTATTAGCCCTTTGTCAGTTGGGTAGATTGCAAACATTTTTTCTCATTCTGTTGTTTGCTGGTTTACTCTAATGATTGTTTCTTTTGCTGTGCAGAAGCTCTGGAGTTTAATTAGGTCCCATTTGTCTATTTTGGCTTTTGTTACCATTGCTTTTGGTGTTTTAGTCATGAAGTCCTTGCCTATGCCTATGTCCTGAATGGTTTTGCCTAGGTTTTCTTCTAAGGTTTTTATGGTGTTAGGTTTTATGTTTAAGTCTTTAATCCATCTGGAGTTAATTTTAGTGTAAGGTGTCAGGAAGGGGTCCAGTTTCTGCTTTCTGCACACTGCTAGCCAGTTTTCCCAACACTATTTATTAAACAGGGAATCCTTTCCTCATTGCTTGTTTTTATGAGGTTTGTCAAAGATCAGATGGTTGTAAATGTGTGGTGTTGCCTCTGAGGCCTCTGTTCTGTTCCATTGGTCTGTATCTCTGTTTTGGTACTAGTACCATGCTGTTTTGATTACTGTAGCCTTGTCGTATAGTTTGGAATCGGGTAGTGTGATGCCTCTGGCTTTGTTCTTTTTGCTTAGGCTTGTCTTGGCTATGCGGGCTCTCTTTTGGTTCCATATGAAATTTAAGGTGTTTTTTTTTTCCAGTTCTGTGAAGAAGGTCATTGGTAGCTTGATGGGGATAGAATTGAATCTATAAATTACTTTGGGCAATATGGCCATTTTCTTGATATTGATTCTTCCTAACCATGAACATGGAATGCTTCTCCATCCGTTTGTGTCCTCTGTTACTTTCTAGAGCAGTGGTTTGTAGTTCTCCTTGAAGAGGTCCTTTACATCCTTTGTTAGTTGTATTCCTAGCTATTTTATTCTCTTTGTAGCAATTGTGAATGGGAGTTTGCTCATGATTTGGCTCTCTGTTAGTCCGTTATTGGTGTATAGGAATGCTTGTGATTTCTGCACATTGATTTTGTATCCTGAGACTTTGCTGAAGTTGCTTATCAGTTTCAGGGGATTTTGGACTGAGATGATAGGGTCTTCTAAATATACAATCATATCGTCTGCAAATAGAGGCAATTTGACTTCCTCTTTTCCTAACTGAATACCCTTTATTTTTTTTTCTTGCCCGATTGCCTTGGCTGGAACTTCCAATACTGTATTGAATCAGAGTGGTGAGAGAGGGCATTCTTGTCTAGTGCCAGATTTCAAAGGTAATGCTTCTAGTTTTTGCCCATTGAGTATGATGTTGGCTGTAGGTTTGTCATAAATAGCTTTTATTGTTTTGAGATATATTCCTTCAATACCTAGTTTATTGAGAGTTTTTAGCATAAAAGGCTGTTGAATTTTGTCAAAGGCCTTCTCTGCATCTATTGAGATAATCATGTGGTTTTTGTCTTTGGTTCTGTTTATGTGGTGAATTACGTTTATAGACTTGCTTATGTTGAAGCAGCCTTGCATCCCTGGGATGAAGCCTACTTGATTGTGTTGGATAAGCTTTTTGATGTGCTGTTACAATTAGTTTGCCAGTATTTTATTGAAGACTTTTGCCTCTATGTTTATCATGGATATTGGCCTGAAGTTTTCTTTTCTTGTTGAGTCTCTGCCCGGTTTTGTTATCAGGATGATGTTGGTCTCATAAAGTGATTTGAGAAGGATTCTCTAGGGGCACTTCTTAGGTTCAGGTTGACAATCCAGGTTTGTTTTTCTGCCTTGTCACTGGAAGAAGGTACCAGCCTGCTTCCCTTTCCTCATTAAACCTGCCACAGCCTGTTCTATCTTTTGGAACCTTCCCTGCCTTCCAAGATTGGTTATAGAGTGTAACTAATTTCTCCATTGCTACTTTAATGTTGCCTCTGAGTATAAATACTCACAGACTCTTTATATTTGATGGAATTTATTACTATGCTTCAGAAGAGAATCAGTAAAAATAACAAATATAAAATTTTAAAGGTTCCAGAAATTATAATAAAAGTCCCTACTGTTAAAGTTCCCTATTCTGTGTTTCCTGATTCCCTTGGTGATATGATTATTAGAATTTCTATGGAGCTTCAGCTTAATGCTTTTATTACTGAAGGTAGAATTTGTACATACTTCCCTCTCCATTCTTCCAAGATTGTGGTTATATGCTTTCTTTGGCCCCTTCTGGGCCTAAAAACAGTTGGAGTACCCATATGCTGTTGCTTCGATAGTTTTGGCTCTGATTTCTCCCTTAAATTTCATTCTTTTGTCTTTCAGTTTCCTGTATGTTTTGCCATTATTAGTTTTTACTTAGATTTCAGTAGGTCATTGGACTAGGAAAATAAATGAACAATTTATTGGTGGAAAAAATCTCATATAATTAATAAATTAATTAAAAAATTTTAAATGTTAGTCATCAGTGAATTATGAATTACATCATGAGGAGATATCTCACTATGAAACTGGAGATTATTTTTAATGCTTTCAGTGGTTATTCTTATGTACTATTGGCATAAGCTTATTTGAAAGTGGTTTGTAGTGTGTATTGAGAAACTTAAAAATATTCTTATTCTTTGATATAAAATCTTTATTAAAAATTTTACTAGCTAAAGTAAATAACTAGGAATGGAGAAAGATAATTGAAGTGTTTTTTAATGTTTCTAATTTTCTGTCCTCTACTAGGAAACAATATTAGAGAAATAGTTAACTTAGATATTAAATACCTGTTGATACTATGTTTATGAAGAACCTTTAAATAATTTTGGAAAATAGTATAAGAAGACTTATATGGAGATGGGTTATAAGTGTGACCTTGAAGAATAGATAGGCAGATAATAGTAGGTTGGGCATTTCATTGGGAGGAAGATCACACAAGCAAAGGTAGAAATAAGTTTATTGCATGGAAAATAATGATTAATGTGGCTAAGAAGCAGGAGTTCATTTGAAGGGATAGGGGAATGTTATTCCCCTTTTATGTGTTTAGATATTTGCTAGATACTGAGGATATAAGGATGACTTAAAGATGGCAAAAATGGACATTTAGGAGAAGGGCATATATAAGAAAATTTCTTTAAAAATTTGATGAAACTTATTTGATTAAGAGAAAAAGATAATAACAAAGTTTTTAGTTTGTATGAGGTTGGTGACAGAAATGGAAAAGCTGAAGCAGGAGACCTTTGTAGTTTGTATGAGGTTAGTGACAGAAATGGAAAAGCTAAAGCAAAATGATCAGTTGAGTTTCCACAGTTGGTTTAAGCCATGCACACAGGAGAGCTTTATCTTTGTATGTTTTATTCTTACTTTGGGTTTACTTACCTTGTAAAACTGAATGTTCTTCTCATACCTCTATATGTTCCAGTTTTTAAACTGATCAATGTGAAATGTACAAAAAAGGACTGTTTGGGGACTTATAAAAATAAATAATAAGGTCTATGGCATTTGGTTTCTTCAAGTTTTTATATTTTGGGAACAATACTTACATTGTATTCTATTTATTTTGATGACTTTGTTTCACACTGTGACATATTGGGCATGGGGCTGTAACCTTAAGGGACCAGTAGATCTCATTCTAAACTGTATTATAGGGAAGTTTCTTTTTTTGGCAGATGGGAGATTCTTTGGTCAGAGAGACCTACGAAGGTGAATGCTTCCCAAGCTCGCCAGTTTAAACCTTGTATTAAGCAGATAAATTTTCCCACAAATCTTATACGACTGGAAGTAAATAGTTCTCTTCTGGATTATTACACTGAATTAGATGCAGTTGTGCTACATGGTGTGAAGGACAAGCCAGTGCTTTCTCTCAAGACTTCACTTATTGACATGAATGATATAGAAGATGATGCCTATGAAGAAAAGAATGGCTGTGGAATGGACAATCTTAACAAAAAGTTTAGCAGTGCTGTCCTCAGGGAAGGGCCAAATAATGGGTATTTTGATAAACTACCTTATGAGGTGAGCCAAAAATATTTAGCAGCAGTATTGGATATACACTATAGATTTTTAATCTTTAATCTTTAGATATTAATGTTTACTCAGCATTGGTAATTGAGCATTGGTAAGGTATAAATAATTTGATGTGTTGTATATTTTAATTTTGGAAAAACTAGAAAAAGTCATGTTTTAAATAATTTCACTGCTTTTGTTTTGGATTGACTTTAGTGTTTCTAGATGAACTATTAAGTATATATTTTCATATTGCTAATTAACAATAACCAAGTACAAAAAAACAGTAATAAGTAATGCTCTACTTAAATTAGTATTACACAGTTTAAATATGGCCAATACATGCTTAACTTTATATTAGTTATGTTAAAGATGATTTGCTATTAAAATAAGACTATTAATAAGACTGAGGTGAGTGCTTATTCCATTTAATTCATAATTTCTCTAAGTGTCTTTTTTTTTTTTCTATACTAACTCTATTCTTCGTTCTCCTAACTGTGATTTTTGGTCTAGGCAGGTAGTACTTTTACCTTGGAATTAGTCATACTTTTTTGTATGTCTAGTTTGCAGTCTTGTTTTCACTGTGTCCCTACTGGGGTGTTTCCAAGGTATATTTAGCATCCCAGGCTCCCAGATGTCAAATGCTAGTAGCATTCCAGGGCCATGTGACACCAAAATCTCTCCCTACTAGTTTCAAAATATTCCTGGCGGTGTGAGTAGGGCCAAGCATTTATTTCTGTCTCCCACTGAAAACTACTGTGTGGTTAAAAATGTATAATCAATTTTCTTTTTAAGAAAACTTTATAGACTCAGATTTTAACCACCTTAGATATCCCGCTTCCAAATCGATGGGTATTTTGGATTTCATGGTAATAACACAAGTAACTTAACTTTCATGAAACAATAAGACAGCCTCTTGAATGTCTTATAGTAACCATAATGCCTCTCCAACATATTACAGTTAAAATGCCATGGTATGTCTTGTGAAGTAGCTAAAGTTGCCACATAAAGATGAATTTGAGTGCCTCAGGTAATTCAGTCTTTAAGCCATGGGACCGGGATCCCCCCCAGACCTCATGTGCTGGAAAGGAAGCTTCACAGATTGGAGAAGACTATCTGGCCCTTACTGGGAGGAGGAAAGATGAAGGGAAAGGTGGGTTTGGGGAAAGAGAGGAGCATAGGATACTGACAATGTTGCTCCTCAGGGCTCTGAGGAGGGTCTGTTGTGGCAGCAGTAGGAGCAATTCATCTGGAGGAGAGGGAATCGCTGCTTTGATTCTTACCCACTTACAAAAACTGTAAAATAGAAATTTAAACTCAGCAAATACATTTTAAACAGTTTATTGAATTTTATCCAGACCTGATAAAATGTTTGACACATATAATTCGAATGAAGGGCAGAAGACACTTTAGACAAAGGGAAGAGAAGGTACAAAGATGAGAAGTGAAACTGTGTGACTTGTTTGGGAACTCCAATGTTTCAGTGTGGCCAAAACATAGGATTTGATAGGAGAGCTGCAAGAAGTGGAATTGGATGGAGGCTCAGGGCTGCCTCAGTGCACCTACAGCTCCATGCACGTAGGTGACAGTGATTGGGACTCCCTGTCTTTGGCAGTGTGGAGTGTTCTCTGCTGTGCCATAGAGGGCTATCTGGGTTTCACCAAGAGATGTGCATTTTATCCCTTCAGCCAGTGGTCTTCAGGGTGCTCCAGTATACAGCCAGATTAGTCGAGAGGAGTCACAGATACTTTAGCCTTTGTCGATAATTTACTTTTGCTAAAAGATTAGAACATACCTTGAAGTAGGAAAATACAATAAAGTATCAGTTTACCTTAATCAGTGTGTTCAATGATATCTCAATTAAAATACAAACAATTTTTTTAATTGAAAAGTTTCCCTAAAAATATGAAAATAGGAAAATTCTGGAAAAGAAGAGTGATAGAGCGGTAATAGTCCTGATTCTCATTTGCAGCCAAACAATCCATGGTATTCCAACACATATAATTAAAAAACTTAGTTATTTTACTTGTAGGACTATTGATACGGGAGAAATAACATACAGATAAATGGAACAGATAGAGTCCAGGAACAGGCCAAGAGGAAAGAAGGAAATGTATTGACAACTCCCCTCGGAAACTGTTTTATTTCTGTAGTTAAAAACAAAAGAAAAATAAAAGCAGTTTCATACCTTTTCTTCCTTTTTTTTTTTTTTTTTCAGAGAAAAAAGGAGGGTACTTTCATAAAGTTTTTGTGGATATATAAATTGATATGAACATTCTGAATGGCAATTCTCCACTTGCATCAAAACTTTTAAATGTATGTAATTTACTATAAGAATATATTTTCAAAGTTTGCCAAGATGAACATACATGCATAATATATTACACACAATGATATTGCAGTATTATTTATAATAGGAAAAAAAGCAGGAAATACATCAATGAGAAACTAGTTGAATTTTGTCACTTCTATGAAATGGAAGGAGTTGGATCTGTATGTGCAAATATAGAAAGATCTACAAGATATTTCATTAAATGAGACAAGCAAGTTGCTGAATGGTGTAGATAGTATCATTCTTTTAGTGCAGATGCAAGAACAGAATTGTATACACATTTATTTGGAAAAGATCAGAAAAACGTTTAACATTGCTTATTTTCGGGGAGAGGGATGGTTAGAACTGAGCATAGAGAGGGAGAAACTTCATTTTAGTCCTTTCTTCAAGGTTTGGGTTTACTTTTTGTTTGAAATTTTTGTTTTTTGTCTGTGTAATATTTTACACGTCAACAGGTGTATCTGGATGATGAGATTTGTTAGAGAAAAATTACTCAATCGTGCTAGGTATAGGGAACACTGCAATGGGGTTTTGCAATGTGAGAGAGAGATTGAGCTCAACAGCATGGGCAGGTGGGAATGAATAGCCAAGGAGCAGGTTGGAGAGTCAGTGGGTAGAAAATTACTAAGAAACATCAGGAGTAAGGGATATTCTGCTGACCCTCTTTAAACTTATTTGAAAGATCATGTTGTTACTCTGCATTTTGTGATATTCTGGCTTAAAACAGTGAAATTCTGACCTGAAATTAATACTGAGTCTAGATAATAAAATAAATTGAAGAAGAGCTTTTAGGTTAATTACAAAACAAAAAGTTTAGCTAGATAAATACCATTGCATTAAATGAAGGAAAACAACCTCTCTAATCTAAATAAGATTTTAACGTTTAGCAAATATTTAATATTTTTTTCTTTATAGTTCTTAGTTCAGAATAGGCTATTTAAGTAGTAGTTCTTTGAAACTAGTTTAGAAGCCCCAACTGTTAAGAAAAAAACACATCTTGGACTAGTTCAAGAAGAAAATTTTAATTAGAGATAACAATCTGTTTAATTAGGCCTTCTTAATAATTCTTCTATCTGTTTGCTGCTCCATCATCACCGCCAGCTGCCTTAAGCAGACCCCTTATTCTGTTTCCTAGAATTCTGCATTAGTCCCGTGGCTCTTCCTGCCTCCTTGCTACCAGTAGCACCCCCTGCAGTGATCTGTCTGAAATGCAAATCTGACCATGTTCCTCCTTAGTTTAAAATCCTTCAGGACTCCTCATTGCTTTCAGAATAAATCCAAGCTTCTCTGTGAGACTTTTGTGACACAGTCTTTACCTATACTCTCTTTTCACCTAGTTTGCCCCTGACCCATTAGAGCTGAGTATTCCTGGCACAGGTACACTTTCACTTTGGAGCCAGGCTTGTGTCTTGCGTTGGGCTTTCATAGCATTCTTTGTTTCTATTTGTCAAAGCTGTTAACACATATCATTGTCCTTACCAATCCCCACTGTACTGTAAGCACTCTGAGAATGGGCACTCTTTCTTTTCCGTCCCTGGTGTCTGGCAAGTAGTAGCTGTTCAGTAAATGTTGAGTATGACAAATTGTATTATTCAATAGATTACCAAAATGTATCTTTGCCTATAAGAAAATGAGTAGGCAATATGAGCTGAGTATACTTTGAACAATCTTGAAATGGACTATAGTCAAATATACATATGATTTCTTCTCATTTGGATAATTCTGTTGAATGTTTTATTTACCATTTGAAAATATGGTTATAAAATGTATGGCACTTTTATTCCTTATTAGATCACTGCTTTTCACTCTTGACGATCTTGGTTTCTCTGTCTTATTTAGCTTATTCAACTGATTCTGAATCATCTTACACTACCAGACCTGTGTAGATTAGCACAGACTTGCAAACTACTGAGCCAGCATTGCTGTGATCCTCTACAATACATCCACCTCAATCTGCAACCATACTGGGCAAAACTAAATGACACCTCTCTGGAATTTCTCCAGGCTCGATGCACTCTGGTCCAGTGGCTTAATTTATCTTGGACTGGCAATAGAGGCTTCATCTCTGTTACAGGATTTAGCAGGTTAGTGCAAAGCCTTGATGAAGCTTTTTGTTTTTGTTCCCCGCCCCCCCAGCAGCAGGCTATACTTACTATGTAGTGGTTTTTATAATAAAAATGTGAAATTATACAATATGTACCTTACAGAAATAAAAAGGAAACGCATTTTGTGTGTCATTATGTTTAGAATGCTGCTGCTTATAAAAAATGAGTTTTTACCATCCTCTTCAGCTAAATTTTATATTAATATGAAGGAAAACTATACCCTTTACTTTATTTACTTTACTTTTTTTATTTTATTTATTTTGAGACAGAGTTTCACTCTTTTTACCCAGGCTGGAGTGCAATGGTAGATCTCGGCTCACTGCAACCTCCGCCTCCTCTGGGTTCAGGCAATTCTCCTGCCTCAGCCTCCTGAGTAGCTGGGATTACAGGCATGTGCCACCATGCCCAGCTAATTTTTTTGTATTTTTAGTAGAGACGGGGTTTCATCATGTTGACCAGGATGGTCTCGATCTCTTGACCTCGTGATCCACCCGCCCGGCCTCCCATAGTGCTGGGATTACAGGCGTGAGCCACTGCGCCCGGCTACTTTATGTTTTTTAAATCCCGAGTAACTTTAAACAGAGCTCTCATTTCTTCTTTCATATTTTCAGCACAGATGATTAACACATTTTAAAAACTATTTCCAAATCAAAATCTACCTCTCTAATGTGATTTGTCAGAAATGGAAAACAATTTATTATAGAACATTTTTAATTAAATCTTAATTACATGTGCAATACATCACCCAAATTTAGAAGCTCGTTTAAACTAATTATGTTGAAAATGCAATTGCATGCTAAATAGACGACCACGCTTGCAGACCTGCCCAGGTGTTTCTGCTCCTTTCTATTTAAGCATTTAGTTTCCTTACTATTAAATGTCACCTGTTAAGCATTTGAAAGCTTGCACAAGTGCATATTCATTTAGTAATGCCATAGTAATTTTTCTTATGATACAAACAGGTGTTTTTCTCTTAACCTTGATCATGGTTTTTCTCATTGGGTGTTACATATAATCCCTGTGTTTTCATGACATGAAATAATGAAGGCATAGAAGCTTTAGAGAAATTTTGTTATTTTTAATTAATGAGTACTCCTGTATTCTGTTTTTAAAAATGAAAAATGAACTATAGCAATCCCTACATGTATCCCCAGTGAATATGTTCTTGAACAATGGTTTATGAATTAGAAATTTGTATGTGGAACCTTGTTTCCTCTTAACTGAGATTATAAAAATAAAGATGCAGTTCCAGAAATAAAGATTTGATATCGTTAGATTTAAATGAAGTCATGATGTTTGAAATAGTAACAATGTATTCAAAATACTAACCTTGATAGTTTATGCATCAAAGTGAAAAACCAGGCAGTAATGGCTAGTAACACATGTTGAAACCATGGATGCACTGAGTTTCTTTTCTGCCAGAAATTGAACCAGGAGAATGGGTTTGTTGCTAGATATTTGACAGCTGTCTAGTGAAATACAGTTTAGTCCTTTCCACTTCCCCTTGTCCCAAATGCACACATTTCAAATTCATTTCTTTGCTAATAGGACCAAGAAAGAATTGAAGCTAATGATGGTTGTGAATATTTAGTGCATACATTTTCGTAAACCAAGACTAACTGAATATGAGAGCAGATAGAACAAGTGGTGTCAGTAAGCATTATTTTACATTATATAAACCTTTAGGGTATTTTAATCACCCTCATAGCTCTTTCCCAGTGTTGTCCACTAGCAAGAATTTATTAAATGTTTTCACCCTTTGTGTGCAAGGCATTGTAGTGGGTGTTGTTGATCACATAAAGAGACATATGATGTATATAATATAGTTCCTGCCTTCAGGCTACAGAGAAGACAGAGATATTAAGATAAACATATCTGTTATATGTTTTTATAAACAGAATAACAGGGTAGTCACTAAGGACAGTGGTTAAAGAAAACATTGGTTGTGAATGGCTGAAGTCCAGCTTCGCTGGCAACGTGCTGCATGTGACCGTGATAATAATGAGTAAAATGTAAAGCTAATATTAAATCAATTTTTAAAACTTTCTTTATGTAGTTTCTTCTGGCACATAAGAAGAAACATCACATGTAAGAGGAAAACTTAGCCATGCTATTTAAAATATTTTTAGACTAGTAATGGATAAAGATTTTTTGGAAAGTTAGAGTTTCTATCTACTTTCTAACCCGCAATTTATCTTCCATTTTCAATTCACCCAGGGTAGTTGCAGTAGAGCTGTTTGAATAATCAGAAAAAGCCATACATAAGTTTAAGTTCTCATATTTTACTGTAGTATTTCAGCCAGTAAAATCATACATCTTGATGGCATTTCTTTAAGTGTAGTCACTATTCCCATTAAGATTAAAGTAATGGAGACAGAACCTTTTCTTGGGCGGGGCATGTTGGAGTTTTGCCTACTGATTACTGTTGGGCCTCATGACTTGACTGCTGAATTGATAGTTATTATGGCTTGTAGGCAGCATTCCCAGAATAAACAATAAATATGCATGGCTTGATTATTAATGAATAATCTTTGAATAAGTATGGTCTGTTTATGCTCATTACTGTGAAAAATACTTATTTGTAATACTTTAAAGAAGAAAAACACATTTGAAAACCAGATACCAGTGGTGATGAGCTGCTTTTTGAACACATCTTTGGGAAAAAGTTTGATGCAGTTTATTTTTGTTCCTTAAAAGCTTTATCTCACAAGTTTGAAATGTTTAACTGGATTTTAAAGAACTTTCTAGTAATTTGTATTATTCAGAATAGCAGAGAAATAGGTTACATTGGAATAAAGACAACTTAAAACTCTTTAAGTTCTTAAAATCCTGTTCTACAGATTTGTGATTTGCTACTTTGAGTACTGTCATGCATAACATTACTCATTAAAATCACATCTATTATAATTCCACTTTTCTAATATGGTTCCCTGAAGTCTTAGATATTCCTTTGCCTCCCTGCCTGTTTATGCTTTAGAACTTAATAGAACTTAATGGTATCATTCTGTTCAAAAAGCCTTAGGTTCGTTTTTTTTTCTGCCATTTTTCCTTTAAATAGTTGCTGAATCACCTTTATCTCCCCCTCAATTGTGTGTGGGTTTTTACCCTGAACCCCTGTTACTCGTTCTCAGTAGTTTATATTCACTCCTTTGGGAAACATCTTGGATGCTTTCTAGATTCAAGAACTTTATTAGCTATTTTGACATAGAACCATATTTTATGGTATAAAGAGATTATTTCTCACTAATATATTTATTCAGTCGCCTGCCTATATTTTATGCCATTGCGACTTAGATTGTCAACTCTAGAAAGCAGACCAGTTTAAGATTTCCCTTGTTTCTATCATTGCTTGATAGTACCCATACACAGTTAAGCTGGAAGTTTTGTTTTTGGTGGTTTTATTTTGTATCAGCCATATTAAATAATATTCCAAGTTATTTGAAATTAAAATTATCTTAAATATTTTGTTTTAGAAAACTCTGAGGGTCAGCTGAAAAACCATGAGATTAGGGATCAGAAGTCATAGATATTTATATCTAATTCTTCTCTTACCTTTTATACTTCAAGTCGTGAGGATTAGTACCTTTTATTTTGTGATACCTAAGCTCAAATCATTCATTTATGTGATCTTAATTATTTTATGGTGCAAGTTACCATTTAGTAAATTACTTCTGATGTACTTGTATTATTCGGGACAAATTAATTCACCTCATAATGATGAGCAATTTATTTTTCTCTTCAGAGATTTCTTTTCTCATAGCAGGAGACCTAGTTTGGGATTGTTTATCTGAACTTAGGTCGTCTCATAAAACCTTCAGTATAAAAAAATACTTTCTGAGCTTTCACCATGTATGAATTGACTGCAAGAATTAAACAAGCTGAGTTCTCCTTTCAAATGATCAGTGGCACAGTTGAGGTGAATAAATATATATGTAATTATGCATTAAAATAAAACCTACATAAGGAGCACTAAGGAAAGAACTAAGAGCTGTGTTCAGCTAATTGAGTCTGTCTCTTCCCTCTTGGGATGTAGATATGAAAAAATAGGTAGTATACATTTTGAAAATTTAAGTAGCAGTAATATGAGGATGTTAAATAAGCTGCTCAGAGTGAAAATATGCAATATGGGATGAGAGAGAGAGAGAGAGAGAGAAAGAAAGAAAGAAAGAAAGTAGGAAGGTAGTATAGGTATAGTCAGTATCTTATTGTGCTTTCAAATTCTACCATTCATTAAATCAACTTGGAAAGTTTCCTCTTGTTTGTTAACAGTTTGTTTTCTGATATAAAGCCAGAGTCTTTACAGTGTTACATACTATGTGAACTGTCCCTCACCTCTCTGATCTACTCATCTCCCCATTATTTTGTGCCACTTGCATTCCCCGTCTCACTGTTCTTCACTGTGCTTGTTATCCTGCCCTGGACTACCCTTCCCATTGCATAGAATGCTCTTCTTCCAGATACCTGCTTTGCTCACCCTCTCGCTTCCTTCAGGGTTTTACTCACCACCTCTCTGAAGGTTCTCTGACTACTCTCTCTATCTTTGACACTTTCTGTTGCCCTTCCCTGCTTTTATTTTCTCCTGAGCACTTTTCACAAATTTGCTGTTTACTTTACTCATTTGGTTATCATCCTCTCCTCTCTTCAAAACCTAAGTAAGGTTCAGGAGAGCAGGATTTTGTTTTGTCCACTGCTGTCTCCCCAGTGCCTGGACTATGGCCTGGATAGTCAAAGCTCAGTGCATATTTGCTGAATAAATGAATGCATGAATGTGCTTCATGCGGACTGCAGTTTAGCTAATACAGCTAGCAAAGGAAGCAGTAGCGAGAGAGTTTGGAGGAGATCCAAGAGGGAGTTATGTGAGGAGTGTCAGAGTTTTAAGGAAGGAGTGTGCAATTGTATGAAATGTCACAAATAAAATATTCAAGTTTGGATTTAGAATAAATGGATGTTCAGGTGTAAATAAGATGTGTGGGTTACGGAGTTATTTACAGTATTTAAAGTTGCAGCAACTGAATTTTTTGTTGTTTAAATGTGAATTGGCCAAGATTTAACCTATACTTAATGTTTGTGGGGTGCTTTGACCTTTAAAAACTGCATTTACATAGTGTTTCAGCTTCTGTCCCACAAGGCAGTGTGGTAAATGTTATTACATACTTCAAGTCTGCATTTAAAGCTGAGGAAATGCTAAGACTTGAGTAAATGCCTTTTCCAAGGTCTCTGCTAGGAACTACTACAACAATGCAAAAAACCCATCTTTTGACCAGTGTTACTTTCTTTATTTACACAAGTAATCTAATTTAGTCAATTTTATTTTGTATGTATACTTGTAAGCTCATTAAATTGTTTAGAAAAAAAAATGTGGCATAAATTGACTAACAGTGTATCACTGATGTGACACTGGTGGGAAGATTATGTCAAGAGACCTGGACAGGCATAATTGGTGCACTGTTAAGAGGGTTAGTTGATAAAGTTTCATGGATTCAAATACTCCTACATTCATGTTTACTTTTAGATTGTTTTCAGAGGATGATCATGGACAGGACTGTTTTTCCAATTGTAATATAACTGAGATAAATATTGTGATAACTACTCTGATAAAGCATTTTGTGACCTTCCCTTTGGATTATTTTTATATATTTTCTGTGAAGCTGCAATTGTCTATTTTGTGATAATTTCAACATCAAGCAGTCCAGCTGCTAAATAACAGCTGCAAGGACCATATCCTAACAGTGTTGTAGTTAAACCCACTTAGACATTTTCTGAGTTGAGAGAAGTCTAGTCTGATTTGTTTTGAGGTTATTTAATTAAAGTTGCCACTTTTGCACTTTTGTGTGCAGTGTTCAAAATATATTATCCAGTACTGGATAGGTACTGTTGAGGGGAAATACCTTCCAGAGTTTAGAGTTTTATTATGTTTTACCTTTTTTTTGGCTTTACCAGCTTGGATGTGAATTATAAGTAAGTAGGAAAAACACATCTATTTTCTTAATTTTCCACAAAATGGAATCGTGTCACATTTATATTAGTCTACTTTCTTTTTCGCTTAATATCTCTAGGACATCTTTCCAGGTCAGTGCATATATTATCTAACTCTTTTACCGTCTAGTATATGTTATAACATAATCTATTTAACATTTAACATTATTTAGCTGACTTTACGTCTGGTGTGAATTCATTTTATCCTTTCAAGTTGATTTTTTTAGCCTAACCATTCATATTTTAGTATGCAGTGAATAAGAATTTAAGCAAAACAATTTTTTTTATTTTCCCTAGTAGAAATCTATTCTTTTAAATGTGTCTTCTTAGAGTTGCTAAAATTCCAAAGTTCTTGCAAAAATATATTTTAGTTTTATAAAATTTACACATAATGTTATTTTTTGCAGGTTTCTGAAGGTTTGTGGATCTGAATTAGTACGACTTGAATTGTCTTGCAGCCACTTTCTTAATGAAACTTGTTTAGAAGTTATTTCTGAGATGTGTCCAAATTTACAGGCCTTAAATCTCTCCTCCTGTGACAAGCTACCACCTCAAGCTTTCAACCACATTTCCAAGTTATGCAGCCTTAAACGACTTGTTCTCTATCGAACAAAAGTAGAGGTAAGAATAATTCATAATATTCATCATTGCTAGTATAATAACCAACTGAATATTTAGTTTTAATTGCTCATAATTTGTTTTTTATTTTTAAATCAAGTTTATGATGCCATATGACTACTCTAAAATCATTAGAGCTGATTCAGTCATTGTAAAGTTATTTAGAGACTAATATATTTTTAATTTATAAGGAAATGTTTTTCCCTGTGCTCTTAAAATTTTTTTGGTGCTATTTATGTTCCCAGGAAAAGAAATAAGCAGCTGGCTGAGGTAAGCCAAAATGCTGTCAGGGAATGAATTAGAGAAAGGTAGGAGCATAGAATGAAAGAGGACATTTGCTTGGAGGGGGAGAAAGCAAAGTGGTATTTATCCTGGACCAGACTCGGGGGTTAAACCTTGTAATATGGTAGTTAATAAGTCTCATTAAAAAAAATGGAATCATGTCATATATATTAGTCTACTTGCTTTTTCAGATAATATCTCTAGGGCATCTTTCCAGGTCAGTGCATATATTATCTAACTCTTTTACTCAACAGTGTGTGTTATAACATAATCTGTATGACATTCTCCAAATAATCAACATTTAGTTTTTTCAGTTGTTTTCCTTTTACAAACTACCTAGCACTAACATTCATCTGTGCATAGTTTTACACATACTTACTATTACTGCTGTTGATTAGAGTCCTAGAGGTGGTGTTGCTAGGTTAAAGAGTATGTGCCTGTGCCCCTGTAGTACACAATCAGTTTGTCATATACTTGCTTTGTCTGCTCCATGCATATTTGCCTTCTTTTCTATTCCTTGAATGTTCTGACCTGGTCCAAGCCCAGGACTTTTGCTCTTTTGTTTTGCCTGTCTGGAATGTTTGTCTAGCTCATTATGGCTGCCCTTTTTTCAGCTCAGTGTTCAACTGGCATATTTTTTTAGAGATGGCTTCCTGGACACTGAAAAAATGTAGTTCCCTTTCTAGTTTGCTTTCTTCATATCACCCAGTTTTATTTCCTTTTTAACATCCTTATCACTCTCTGAAAGGATATTTGTTTTCTTGCTTATTTTCTGTCTTCTCACATTAGGATATAAGGGTAGAAGCCTTGTTGGTCTTTTTCATTGCCATGTTTCCAGAATCTAGAATAGTACTTGGTGAAGATTGGCCATTCAATAAATATTTGTTAAGGAAGTGAATAAAGATAACCAAATTACTTTTCCAAAATGATAGACCAGTGACTTGTGAGACTGGATTAATTCTGGTGGGAATGGTTTGGTTCCTAAGGGAATAGGTTGTTGTAAGTTGAGGATGCCCTTTGTGTTTGGCCTCTTTGCACTGTCTGCTTTGTCTTTGACTTTCTGCCATGTTAAGACACAGCAGGAAAAAGCCTTTATCAGAAGCCGAGTAGATGACAGTGCCATGCCCCTTGAATTTCCCAGCCTACATACCTGTAAGCTAAATAAACTCTTTTTCTATATGAGCTACCCAGCCTCAGGTATTTTGTTATAGCAACACCAAATGAACTAAGAAGGCATTATTCTCAATTTGGGGCAAAATGTTAAGCTAGACTTTAACAGGTGACCTGGCAGGGTGGAGAGAAGGCTTTAATTCTAGTTCTAGCCATGTCAGCGATAAGCTTGGAAATCTAGGTTAAGACATTGTCTCAGATTCACAGATTTTTTATTTGTAAAATGAAAGAATTATTGTCCCTGAATGCTAGATGATATTAGCCTGTGTTTTTATTGGTCTGTGTTGAAATGACTCCCCATTTGTGTGGGTTTAAAATTGTTACCTATCTTATTTTGGGTAGACTGTTGATTCTGAAATTATACGATGCCTGCTTTTTATTGGAATATTTACTATTTTATGGGCCTGTGTACTATAAACTGAAATCCTCTGAGCAAGGAGGATTTAAATGCCTCATTTAAAATTTTCTGATTGTTTAGTAAGAAATATAGTATACATAATTATTAAATGAGCCTTTGAGAAGAAAAATAGGGTAAAGCCAAAAAAAATTAACTTGCTAGGCATCTTATATCTATGGTGACTTGTAAAATATATCCCATGAGATGTTTTTGAAATGTTACATAGTAATGTCATCTAAGTGTCAGAGAATTATTAAATAGTCTAGTTTTCTTAAATTTGTCTGAAGAGACTGATAGATATTATTAAATTTTTAAAGTGTGAATTATGAGGATTAAGAAGATTTCATATCTCAAGAGTGGAAATTTATACATGTATACCTAAGTCTAGATAACGTAAGCTCTACTTTCCATCAGTTACTTAAATTCACATGTAAAATCATTTTATGAATGTATTAAATAAAATTTAGGTTGTGCCCTCTGTTACTCCCTATTAAATTTTTTTATTGGCCCATCTGCTAAAGTACCATAAAAGTCACATAAATACTACACAATTTTTCTGACATCGAATATGCGGAAAAAATTATAAAATTGAGTTTTCATTGATCTTATAATAAAATTGACTTATAATAAAATTAAAGATGCTATTATTTTAGTGATATCATTTGCAAATTTGGAATTCAGAAAATCTTACCCAGGCAGTGTTTAATGCTTCCCAACTCATTGCTTTCTACCAATACTTCACTCACTTCTGTTATTATCTCTTCATTCTTGGGATCTACATCAGATCCACATGGGCACTAACTAAATCAGAAAAAGGAGAGATGGCAAAATAATCAGCTGGTTTCTTTTAAAACAAACGGAAGCTATAGTACTGGTATTCATATCAATCTGTAAACACCTCGATTGTCACTTAAGCAAAGCATGATGTTACCTCCTCCTTCCTTTGATACATACACCCCTTTAATTTTGCACCTAATGATGCTGGTGGACGAGAGCAAACAGAATGAGAAGACAAGATGTAGGAGACTGGTCTCTCTTTAAACCTTCCACATAGTCACTAGCAGTATATTCTCATATTCTAGAGTCTGTTTTGAAAAGAATGAGCAGTAATTGGTTTCAAATGCCTCTGGTTGCTCTAAGGAAATATATGAGAAGAAAAAGAAGATAAAAATTTTAGGTTTTCTGGGAGAGGTTATTTTGTTTTAAAAGGGCTACAAATTATCCAGTACCACTTTAACCCTGTTTTTCTGAGCCCTACAAAATTCTAAAATAAGAAAAAATTAGTATTACAAAATATGGACTGTATTATGGCATAGTAACCTCAGAGACCAGTTTACATATATATGATAAAATACAGTTATATTTTGTGTGCCTGTACATAATTTACATTAATATATTTATGCTATTTTATGAGACTTAAGTCCATATGCATAGTGAATAAAGTTTTTGAGGATTTTAGAGACCTGGAATTTAGTCCCAAAGTTTGGGAAGACTTACTGAATATATTCTGTTGACTGTCCTAGACATTTTGCATTATTATTTAATTCTTTATACCTGTCTGAATAGGATTGGTCGAATTCTCATTTTTACACATAATTAAATTATGGTCTCAAAAGATTAATAAATTGCCCACTCTATTGCACAAGCAATAGAGTCAGGATTTGAAGTCAGATCTTGTTGTAGTTAAAAATCATAAGATATATAAAAGCATAGAATAGTAGTTATTCTAAGAGCTTGGCTGTTTGCATCTAAAACAAGGATTTTCTTTACTACTTATTCTTATTTCTAATTTGTAGTTGGTAAGGAAATATAGTAACTAACATAAACAGCATTATAATTTATGTTATAATACAAACTATTAAGTTTATAGTTTATAAATATGCAGGAAAATGGAATTTTTGTCTTTTTACTAGCTTAGTTTGAAGTCTTAGTTGTTTTGAATTTATAAATCACAATTTGTTATTCAAATTACATTTAGAAACATTTAAGTGAAAGTTTGTAGAATCAATACGTAATTAACTGCTTTAAGTAAATAGTTTATATAGGCATATTCTCAATTTTATACTATAATGGAGAGCAGCATTGAGATAGATAATCCTCAAAATAATTTTGACATGTAAAATGATGTGTTATTGATGGCTAGGTGATGTGTTCTTAAGTGGTTAGCCATAGCCAGGCATGCAGCAGGCCTGATGACTCAGTAAGAATGAGACCTCAGGAGAATGGAACTGTGGCAGGGTCATAATTGTCTTGTATGCTGATTGGTCCCTCCCTGGTGGTTGTTTAGAATTTTTAGCCTTATAAGAGGGCAAAATATAGTTCAACTTGGTTTCTTAGTTTATTTCATGAGATCTTCTTCTTTCTTTAGATGTGTTTAGGATTACAGTGAAAAATAACTTCATCAGAGAAATAACAAATGTCTTATAAATTCAGCAAAGAAAATTCACTAAGTAAGCTATGTGCAAAGTCAGGGCATATATTTGTTGAATTTCATTGATGCAGAACATTAAATACATGCCTAGTAAAGAACAAGATGCCATTATATGAATAAAAGACAGAGTGGATGGGTATATAGTAAACCCAATTACATGCTAGCACTGTCACAGGCTTGTTCTTAGTTGAAGAATGATCTGTGTTGGGAAACCTTTTTAGAAGAAGTTACCCTTGAGCTGAGATTTATGCCCTGTTTACTGTGTGATCCCAGAATTCTAGTGAAATGGGTTGGCAAATAGGGTATTTTTTTCCCCTACTGAATTTGGTGGATCTTTTAGAGTTGAATAGATAGGACGTTATGCAAAAGATGGCAGTTGAGACAGGAAAGATACTTTAGTTGTGCTTGGTTTCTTCTGCATCCATAGCATGGAAATATTCACTGTGTTAGGTATTATAATGATTAGAAGGACTTAGATTCAGTCTTTTTGGTTCTTCTCTATTCATAAGATTCTTATTATGTATGATAAATATTGATTGCAATATGATGATGTATTTTTGTGAAAGTAGAGCTATAAAAATCTGGCTCATTCAGCTGGGCTCAGGGGCTCATGCCTGAAATCCCGGCACTTTGGGAGGCTGAGGCAGAAGGATCACTTGAGATCAGGAGCTCAAGACCAGCCTGGGCAACATAGCAAGACCCACATCTCTACAGAAATTAGCT